TATAACGGCCGATTCAAATGTGCAGCGATCCCAGCTGTCAAAACCATAGAAATGTTTTATAATATATAAAATAATTTGTCCGAAATTACGAACCAACTCATAAATTTTGTACCCGTGTTCTTGGCTAGGCTAAATATTTTTCGCGAACACGGCGGCAGATGTCAGTTTTGTGCTTTGATCAGAAATTTCATTGTAATTTGTATGATCATTCATGTCGGTTTGTCGATGCTATGTCCTCAACCGTGTAGGTATATTGCAACAAAGCAAGCAAGCAATATGTCATTATCCTTCTTCCACTCCGATCGAGCTGTGTTGCAGATAAAGTTTGTCGTAGCAGTCGTAGCAAGCGTTTTGTCTGTATCGTTGGTTGCTTTATGTGTTTGGATTCGCTGGATACGAGGTTTGCGCTGAATCGTTCAGAAGCGTAGATGTTTGCTACTGCTATTCTTCGATACAATCGATGTAAATCAGTGCCAACATTTCAAAGGGGCGTAATTGAATTTGGAAACAATGGCTTTAGCTATCGATAAGTCCATCCCTCCAAATTAACAATGCTAGCTGGTAAAGGAAACATTCACCTACCTGCTGGTGTCATTAATCTTCATGAGTAAGTTTTAATTTACGAGAAATCGACGGCTAAAGTCATTGTTTACAAATACAATTCCGCTCATTTGAAATGTTGTCACTGAAATATTTACATTATTTGACAAATCTCAGGTAATCATGACAGCAGTTGGTCTCTTTTCTTCATTCATATTGATTTCAATAATCAAACGTCATGATTACCTGGGTTTTGTCAAAAAAGGTAAATATTTACGTTGTTTGTACCAAAGAATAGTAGGGATTGTGAATCAAAGACGTTTTTTTTTGCATTTTTACAACAAACATTTCAGGAGCTACTAGACGCAAATTTTCCGTAATTTCTATTCCGTTTACTTAAAACAACGATCCTGACATGATGTCAGATGCAGTGTTGTCAACTTTTCATGGAGTACGATCCGTAGATAGGTAAATTTATTTCCATTGCATTAATTATCGCTAAATTTAATGACCATTTTCAAAAACAGTCATTCAACAAGTAGCATTTTTTTAAAGTGATGTGCGGAGGATGAGCCAAAATTTTTAGAATACTTAGAATTTATTCGGCACTATAAAAAAAATCCCTAAATATCTGGAAAATCCGTAGAATTCTATGGTCGATCCGTAGTAAATCTAAAAATCTGTAGATCTACGGATCAACCCGTAGAACTGACCACAATGGTCAGATTCTAAGAATTACGCAAGAAATGATCCTCAAAGCATATCGTATAAACTTCCTCTGAGCAGATTAAATTTGAACTATTCAAAGTATCTTGAAACTGACACCAGATGATGAGTAAAGCTAGAAGTGTGCAATTGATGAAACAGGGCTTAGATCTAATTTTGGGCCTACTAAGCACAACCCGCGGCTTACTTCTATTTTTCGAGCGAATTCAATGTTTTTGCTGCAGATGACTTCTAAATGTATTTACCTTTCCGTGCGTACCGTAAGATTTTATGAAGAGTAACTAATTGTTGAAATATTGTTAAAAATCAAACACTGCTTCTTGACCCCAAAGTCGGTCTACGGATTCTAAATTCGGCCTATTTAACGCATTAAAACGCTATTGAATTCACTTCGGCCTATCGGAAGAAGATGAAAATTGATTCGTTCGGAGCGCTTCTTTTGTTTTTGAGAATAATGGGTGCAAACATTCATATCACGAGTTTTTATTGACATCGTTCGATAGCTTTTTAACTAAAGAATCGTACCAAACGCAAAATTGACTAATTAACACCGGAATCATGGATGCATTTGATGTTTTCTACTCGATAGGCTCAAAATAGACGATTAGGCCGAAGTAGTTCTCTACCCTACGTCGTGAGAATGTCGGACAACAATCCCGCAACAATGGTATTTGGCTCAAAACAGACTGATATAAGAACTCATTTTATTTTTGAATTGTTCTATATAAGAGGTAAAATATCAAAAACACAAAGATTGTGCAAAATAATCAGCACTACCAAAATTTTGCCCAAATTTAAAGTGTCAAAATTCCATGAAAAATTAACCGATTTGGATAAACCTGGAAGCGTTCAACGGGGCATTTATTCAAGTGGGGCCTACCTTAGCTCAGTCAGTATAGGCGCAGCTACAAAACAAAACCATGCTGGAGGCAGCTTCTATTCCCGATATGGTCTAGGCATTTTTCTGGTTGGAAAATTTCTCGACTTTCCTGAGCTTAGAGTATGATTGTACTTGCCACACAATTATACTAATGCAAAAATGGTACAGGCATCGAAAGCTCTCAATTAACAATTGTGGAAGTGCATCTAGAACACTAAGTTGAGAGCACGCAATAAGCTAATATGCGATAACTGATAAGCTTGAATTGCGGATGTTTTTAGATTATATAAAACGTACAATTTGCCGGTCGTTGATAACTTTGAGAGGAAGATTGAAAATCTGTATTTTTACATTTGTCTCAAAAATTAGGGTCAAACAAACTACTGGTAGAAGATATTACATCGGTCTTCTTGAATACGCAAGTTGTTGTTAATTGAAACATTTTGAGACTCACCAGTTACTTTGGTTGCTCTGTGGTAGGTTTCGGATAGCCTCGGTGAAACCTCTAGAACTTGAAAAATACCAAAACCGGTCAAACATTACAACAGATTGCATGTCATTTTTAATCTTTTTTTTTTATGTGGTCACATCCGATCATGTGTGCTTTGTTAATTGCCTTCAGCTCGGTTAGTGCTCTTTGCCGTTACCGTTGGAACACATTTTTCGATAATAATGGTCGAAATTTCAAGCAATCTTTGTGTTTTGCCTATCTCGAAGGGAGTTCAAGGCCAAACATGAGCGAGATTGCAAACTTCGTTAAATCATTGGATGCGAATCATGGAGACATACACACCACATATCGAATTGCTGAGGAGAAGGCGACCGTCATAAAATTTCAATACGTAGCAAGTATGCATTATGCCCTGGCGCATAACCCGGAGCAACTATGTTTTTCCATATGCTAATGGAAGGGCAGTGGAGGTACGAATATCGCTTGCCGGGGGCAATGTACAGAACTTCCGACTGTACGATCTGGCACCAGAAGTACCAGATGATGATCTTACGTTGCTGCTACGGAAATGTGAAGTGTATGTTATGTATGTTATACGAGAAGTTCATTGCAATTCCATTAATTTAGGGAAAATATAAAGAAATTTTGAAAATTTCCCAGATTTCAGGAAGTCTTTGTTTGTTTGTAATCTTAAGTAATCTTAAGAGAAAATTAAATAATTTCTGGAAAATTTCAGGAATTTCTCGGAAGTTCAAAGAACTCCAAGGAAGTACAGTATTAAAAACATCAAGAGAATCACAAGAACTAGATTGAAGTTCCGAGAACATCAGGGAAGATCAATGAACCTCAGAGCAATTCTTTTAGTTTCAGGAAAATTTTAGAATTTCACAGTAGTTTCGAGAAGATGAGGGAAGTTCTGAATATTTCGGAAAGTTCCTAGAATTGCAATAACTGAAACTTCAGTTAAATTTCTCATGATCTTCCGGGAAGATAGAAGAACATCAAGGTAATTCCATAACCTTACGGAAAATAGCAGGATAATAGTAGTTTCAAATATGAAGGGAACTTCCAATAAGGTAATTGTAATTCCATTAATTTCAGGAAAATAGAAAGACATTTTGAGACGGTCCCAGGTTTTCAGGGAAGTCCAGAGAGTTTCAAGGAAGTCCAAATATCTTTCAGAACTTCCAATGTCTCAAGCAAAATACGAACGCTCAGAGATGTTTATGAAACTTATACGTGAACTTCCATGCAGTTCTGAAAACTTCAGGAAAATTTAAGGATCTTGGGACCATAGATAGCCTAGTCATTAAAATAGGGTATTACCAAGCCGGAGGCGGTAGGATAGATCCCCGGTCCGGTGGGATGGAAATTTGCTCGACTTCCCTGGACATAGAGTATAATTGTGCGCGACGCACAATATACAAAAGCATGCATCGGTTGGCATAGAAAGCTCTCAATTAGTAACTGTATAAGTGCACCTAGTATTTTTTTGGGATGCTTTTCAAAAGTCTAGGGATGCTATACCTAGCATCGTTTCATAAAATTCATTTTGGGTTCTCCTCACTAAACTCTTTGAAATCTCCTAGGAATTCGCTTTGATTTTTTCTAAGCATATCCTAACTATTCTTCCAAATTTGCATGGAATTCTCCATCAAATTGCTCTGGAGTTCTACTTAGATTTCTTTTAAAACTTTGCTTCAAATTCGCTTGAAATTTTCTTAGAATTCTGCTCGGAAATACACTGGAATTTGTCTTAGGATTATCTTGCTTGATATTCTCCTGTGGAATAATGATTCTTTTGAAACTATTCTCCATATTCAATTCCCATGGAATTCCTCTCTAGAATTACTTTGGAATATCCTTAGGATTTTTACCAGTTTCTACTGAAATCTTCCCAAGAATTCCATCTGAAAATCTGCTATGAACTTTCTAGGATTCTGCTTAGAATTCACTCGAAATTTTATTGCAATTCTGCTCGGAAATACCCTAGAATTTGTCTAAGGATTATCTTGACATACTCCTCATAATTTATGTGGAATTAGAATTCATTTGAAACTATTCTCCATATTCTATTCCCATGGAATTCCTCTCTAGAATTCTATTGGAATATCTTCAGATTTGACTGAAATCTTCTCAAGAATTCCCTCTAAAAATATGCTAAGAATATTCTAGGCAATCTCATATGAATTTACTTTGGATTCTATGTGAATCTATACTAAGCATTTTTTTAAATTATCAACAGAATTTCTTTAATTATCCTCCAAAGTCCAGTGCACCAATGACGAGGATCCACGTATGACGCACCCATTTCCCATTTACACTTTTCTACCAGTGCATTAAAAAAAATATCACAACAGTCCTTGAACAACTGAAAAAAATCAAAGTAACCCAAGTCTTCGCTCCCAAAAAGGACATTCATTTGAAATTTTTTCAACGACCCGTAAAGCAGCAGTTACAGTTTGCTCTCTCTACCTATCAAGATACGAAATTTCATAACTGGAAGAAAATGGCCCTGCTGAGCCTGCAATCGATGCGTGTCCTGCGGAACTTTTACGGATCCCTGCTGAGGCGGTCATTTTCATCCAGCATTGGCGAAAATCGAGCTGAGGTAAGTTTTGCGTGTTCATCCTCTGTGCATGATTTGCTGCTGCTTTCACGTGGCAATATGCCCCGATTTCAGAAGGGACTGGTTCTGGGCCTCTACGAGCAGGAAATCGAAACGGAAGAACCCCGTCTTTCTCCGGTAGCCGGTCACTTTGATGCCAAGACGGAAGGTCAGCTGATAAATTTGATCAAGGAGTAAGTTTTTCACCCTTCAGTTGCCCCGGGAAACGGCTAACAGAGATTCCTTTCTGCAGGTCGAGCATCAAAGGAAAAATTGGACAAGTGAAAGTTTTCAACAACATCGATCCAGATTTTGGCTCGGTGGCCGTCGTGGGACTTGGTCTGGAAGGACTGGGTTACAATGAGCTGGAACAACTGGACGAGGGTCTCGAGAACGTGCGTATTGCGGCGGGAATCGGAGCCAAGTGTCTCGCAAAGAACGGATGTTCCAGGATTTGGGTGGACCCTATGCAGGCCGCTGAGCAAGCGGCTGAAGGTAGCGGCTTGGCAACGTGGAAGTATCAGGCCAACCGAATGAAGTCGGAGCGACTCCCGATCCCGAAGTTGGAGCTGTTCGATTCACCGGACGGTGATGCCTGGACCCGAGGATTGTTCAAAGCAGATGCACAGAATCTGGCACGGAGCCTATCGGACGCACCGGGCAATCAGATCACTCCGACGGCATTTGCCCAGGCCGCTGTCGACGCGCTGTGTCCCTGTGGAGTAAGTACCGAGGTCAGGAACATGGACTGGATTGAGTCAAAAAGCATGAGCAGTTTCCTGTCGGTGGCGAAGAGTTCTTGTGAGCCACCCATTTTTCTGGAAATCAGCTACTGCGGTGAGCACGACTCTGGACGACCGATACTGTTGGTTGGTAAAGGTATCACGTTCAACAGTGGTGGCCTGTGCTTGAAGGAGCCGCATGGTATGTCGCAGTACCGTGCAAGCATGTCCGGAGCGGCTGCCATTGTTGCCACCATCCGAGCGGCGGCAGCTCTGTCTCTACCGGTCAATTTGGTGGGTTTGATTCCACTGTGTGAGAATATGCCATCCGGAATGGCGTTCAAGCCAGGCGATGTCATTACCACCCTCAACGGAAAGACCGTGGCTATTCACGTAAGTTGCATTTAGTTCTTATGCAAGATTTTTGTTCCTAATCGATTGAATTCTGCAGGATACCAACAATGCCGGTCGGCTGATCATGGCAGATACATTTACCTACGGACAGAACACGTTTAAACCCAAGGTGGTGATGGACGTCGCGACGCTCACGGATGGTGTGACGCACGCGCTTGGCGGCGCCGCAAGTGGCGTTTTCTCCAACTCGGACTTCCTGTGGAAACAGATGCACAAGGCAGGAGCCATCACCGGCGATCGCGTCTGGAGGATGCCTTTGTGGCAATACTACACGCACAAAGTTTCAAGTACGTATACTGGGGGGGGGGGGGGGTCTGTCGAAGCTCATTCGACTAATTCTGTCATCTTCCTCAGATTACACAAATGTGGACCTGAGCAACACCGGTCATGGTAAAGGAAGTGCTTGCTTGGGAGCAGCTTTCCTTAAGGAATTCGTTCCCTGCGTTGATTGGATCCATCTGGATATTACCGGTGTCGGCATGCTCAAGAAGGGAGTTGGTATTCCGTACCTCGCCGAGCATCGTATGACTGGCCGCCCTACGAGGACGCTTGTTCAGTTCCTGTATCAGATGGCGTGTCCCGATGTGCAGGTCAAGAGTCTCTCGAAGGAAAAATTAAGTGGCTCCGATTAGAAGATGATGAATGCGAGGTGTCGTAGAGCTTGTGATGTACGTTTATTTATTTGATGTATGTGAATAACAAATTTTTAAAATGCAACCTTTTTCGTTCATATCGGAAGAAAACCATGCCATTTTTCCACACTAAAAATAAATCTTACTCAGTGTAAGTCACTTTTACACATTCGTTTAGAGGAATTTCTAAAAGCGTGGGTCACTCAGCCTACACCTACACGGCTTAAGAGATGAACTAGCCTATGGCTAAAAATCTCTATAGTAAAGGAAAAAAAAAAAAAAAAAAACCTACACGGCTGAACGTTTCGATTCGTTCGAAAACGAGGATAGAGGTGGATATTTCAAAAGTAACCAAATTTGAGTGGGATCCACCCAGATTGGCCAAAACTGAACCTACCCAAAACTTGGTATTGACAAGTTGCATCCTATCGATGTTGCGCATTTCTCAACTTGTCACTTCCAACGAACCCATTTTTGGGAAGGTTTTGACCGATCTTGGTGGATTCTACTCAAATTTGGATCAAATTTTGATTTGCACGGCAATCACGGGCCTTATTACGGTACAACACGGTGATAAGGAAGTGATACTCATAATAAGCCAGCGTGTACGATTTTAGAAATGTATCCATACGAATGAGTAAAAGTGACTCACTCAGTGCATGAAAAGGCGTTTGTTTGTGAAACATCAATTTAAATCTTTAAAACAACCATCAAATCCGGATGTGACTCTATACATCCCGATTCGAACCAGTTTCTTCTATCAACGGCACGCACAATGGATTTAATTGATGAATATTCACTCTCGTTTTGCGGACTTTTGTTTGACTTTTTCCCGTTCCTGCATTAATTTACCCTTTTTTTTTGTCAGAGTCTCTTCCCCGAAGCTCTAATATAAATTCGGTCCCGCTGCTGGTCCCAATTGGAGGCAATCCGTAGCTCACAGGCATAAATTATACCCTTCCCTATCCCATCTCGGAGTGTCGCATCCGTTTGCCAGTGATGGCATCAACAAACACTGATGGACAACGATAGCCGATTCCGGTCACATGTAGGAGTAGCAACGGGCCTGTGGACACAAAAGGGGAAAAGTCAAATGCGGACATTATACGCCATCCGGAGTCGAAAAACATTTCAAGAATAATAATGTGCGCTCTGAGTCGTGTGTGCCAGCCGAGAAACATGACTATCATTTTAACATTTTGGAATCCCTGGAGGAATGGTCGGTGTCGGCTCATCGTCCCATAGTCAGCTATAACTGGACCGGAGACTCGTCAATCCCAGTGAACCTTACACCTCGCGTCAGTCAGGCCGAAACGCGATTCGAAATGCGCATGTTTACATTAAAAAGAATTATTTTAACTGCGAATTTTTGCCAAATTCAATTTCAATCCATAAACGACCGTCATAAAATGTTGCAAATTTGTGTTGTTGCAGCATACAGTAATCAAAACATGAAGCTAGTTGCATTTTAAAGTGATTTTCTGGTAACTTTGTACGTAGGTGGAAATATTGGTGTAGCTAGGAGGATTGGTTCACTTTGTTTAGTTTAGTTTCTCGGAATAAAGAAATCAAAAGATGTTATGATCACAATGATTTCACAATTCCGATAAACATTTTTTTTATTATTTAAAATTTAATAAAATTTACACATCAAACAATAAAAGGTCTGGGCACACCAACGAAATACTGTTTAAGATGACAAACGGTGCAGTTCGGTCGATCGGTTGTCGGTTGTGGTTTGAGGTCATGTTCGGCTGCAAACCGCACACTGGCACATATCCACACCGTATATGCAATCAACCATTCTTAGGGCACATAATGTTGTGGTTTCGAAATGGAAATTATCGATTCATTGTTTTGAATGGTGCCTGCTGCTGTCCAGCCAGTGCGCTCTGGCAGAAATATGTATAGCCACAATCTGTACGTTACCATACGGTCAGTCGGAACCGATTGGTGTGCATGTGTAGGATGGTTCTTCATTCGAATGGTTGCCACCCCCGCCAAGCGCCACCAGCAGCCGAGAGGCTTTTTGTTTTGCCATCGTTAATGCTCAGTCAATCGAAAACGAGCACCTCCCCCTCCCACCCTTTCACACTCTCATCGCCGCCTCTATTTCCATCATCGTTCACGCACAAAGTAGTAGTTTATACCACTTTGACAATGGAATAACGGTTTTGTTATTGTTTATGATTGGACGTCGACCATAGATTACACCCATACAGCTTGTGTTCTTCCCTGTCCTATTCATCCTCGAGGGAAGGTAGCTGGGTCCGACGAGGGCGACGACTTTTCGGGGAAGCACATGGGGCACCATGGCTATTATCATAAACATACAACATCCGTGTGGGGCATCATCATCATCATCATCATCGTGAGCAACGTCGATATTGGTCGGCTTGGGACCATTCTGGAGCACCGCGTCCACCGTGTTTTTCGGTTGGTTTGTGGTAAATACGTTGGGTTTAATTATATGAACTGTGTTTTTCGAAGCTTGACTTTCCGGGTTAATTATAAACACAGCAAAAAAATAATTTTGATATCACGTCAAAGTGGATGCACTACAATCATGTCGAAAATATGGTGTAATATTACTTGCTAAAAAGGACAAAATTATCATTAATACAATGCATGAACTGACATTACGCTACTTTTACTGCATTTGTTTATTTATGTGGTCATAAAAATTACATGAAATTTTCGACATGATTGTAGTGCATCCACTTTGATGTGATATCAAAATTATTTTTTTGCTGTGAAGCGTTTTAATTGAAAGTACACAGACGTTTGTTGGGCATTATTTGGTCCTACCAAGGCAGATAATTATATGGTTTCAGATTTGACCGACACCAGACCGGTCGGTCACACAAAGAGTTAGTGCAGTGGCGGTGGGTCATCATCACCAGCGGGGACGCCGGAAGCTAGTAATTTGTAGAGTTATTATGGATGCGGATGTGTTCTATGCTGCTGGTTCCACCAAACGGCCTATTTTGCACTATCATAACAAAGTAATATTGTTGTTTGTCTAGTTTGAAAAATTTGCTTTTCAAATAAGGCGAAAACATTGTAAAATGCAAAAACTCATTAGAATTGAGCAAACATATTAGAAATTGAAAACTAATTACAATTAGCTTATTGGCAGGCAGATGCAAAGTAATCATAGCTATGATTTCACGGTTTATTCAATCGTAATTGGTTAAGTTAAGAAGCCTGATCAGCATTTCAAATAATATATCTTCATTTTTTTGTAAAAGATCCATAAATAAGGTTATTTTTCAGTTAAGTCTTTTTTCTTTTTTTTTTGACTTAAAATGATCTTTATTTCTTGTGTTTGTGTGGTTTACATTTTATGAATTTTTCAAGTGACACAGATGCGTCTTTTCAACTTCAGTTCATTTGAGATTTTAATTATTATTTACAGTTACTAGTCCTATCAGGCCTATTTTAAAGTATGACCACCTTGGTGGGATTGGTTTGATTTGAATTGGAAAAAAGGAAACTACTTATAACTACTAATTACAACTAAAACTAACCTACAACTACTATATACACCTAACCTACTATATACAAATTGCTTATCAAAGCATGTTCTGATAAATTACATTTTTCTGCAAATTTAGTCTTAATTTCGTTAATTCTTGAATCTATTTTGGCAATTCCTGCCTCTTTGTGTAAATTTGTTATTCTAGTGTCGAAAGGACGATCAAGAACCATCCTCAGCACTCTATTCTGAGCGACCTGAATTTTGTTCCTGTGAGTCTGTGCACATGATTCCCACACCGGAGCTGCGTAGAGGATAGCAGGTGTTATTATTTGTTTGTAGACAGCCTTGAGAGGCGGGATCTGCGGCAAATCAGCGGATACAGACACCTAACCAAGGCAGAACACTTGACTACTGTTTTCTCTACATGCGAACGGAAGAGGAGCTTTTCATCGAACAACATCCCGAGATAGGTTACTTCGGCGGACCACTCAACCCTTGTGCCATCCATGATTACAGTACAAGATGGAGCCGGTTTCAGTTTGGGCGATTGCCGATGGAGGAACATGATCGCTTGTGTTTTGGAGGCATTGATTTTGATTTTCCACGTGGTGGCATAATCAGCAAAGGCGTTAAGGCATCGTTGAAGTTTGTTCGTTATTTCGCGAGGCATCCTTCCTTTGACGGCTATTGCGGTATCATCTGCGAACAGGAAAAACACGCAACCGTCTCCGAGGGGAGGAATGTCGGAAGTGTAAATGCTGTAAAGCAAGGGGCCCAGCAGAATGCCTTGCGGGACACCTGCTGGGATGGAAAACGTGTCTGAAAGACAACCATTCAACGATACCTTAAACGACCTTTGCTGGAGGTAGTTACGGGTGATTTTAATAAGATGTAAAGGAAAGTTGAAGTTACAAAGCTTGTACACAAGTCCATCATGCCAAACATTGTCAAACGCCTTTCCAACGTCTAACAAGGCCATGACTGTGGACTTGGATACAGCTTTGTTACTTCGGATGTTATTCATCACCCGTACTAGCTGGTGATTGGTGGAGTGCCCCTTTCTGAACCCAAACTGTTCCGGAAGGAGAATGTTATTTTCCTCGACAAACTTGAGCAAACGATTGAGAATGAGTTTCTCGAACAATTTGCTCAGCGCTGAAAGGAGGCTGATTGGTCTGTAGCTTGAAGACAATGTTGGATCCTTAGCGGGTTTGCGGATTGGTATAATTTTTGCTACTTTCCAGCTGCTTGGAAAGTAGTGCAGTTCCAAACATCTGTTGAAGATAGTGGTTAGAAGAGACTGCACTTTCATGCTGAGTCTCTTCAAGATCAAGTTGAATATACCGTCAAACCCGGGAGCCTTCATGTTCTTGGTGCATTTCAGCGCTGAGCAAATCTGTTGTACTGTAATCATATCCGCCGGAGACATCTAGGTTTTGAACGCATTGCGCAACCTGATCATCGAGCGGACTTTGGATAGTCGAGCCAAGCAAATGCGATGAAGCGACATGCTTGCCGA